CATCGCTCGCTGTGGCAACCTATTGTGTGACATGCGCAACACATGCCCCTAACAGCGTCATCTATTGGGGTTGACCATTGCTCCATTGGACGATCGCGATCACCTAGAACTCTACATCTGACCTCAGGCGTAGCCTGTACCAGTCAAGAACGAATTAGTCCCATGAGCTGGTCGGGTGAGGGTAACGTTAATCCTTTCTCAGCAATTACCCTAGGATGTGTATGATCTAATCATTCGTGAATTGTTGCCATCGTTGTAAAACGTTGGTTACGCTCAAGCCTCCAAAAAACGATAAACATTTGAATCGTCACTCCGAATCCAATGATGAGCATTTGCAATGTGGAAAAACGGCACTACCAGATGCAAAAAACATTCTATGCTCAATCTATAGAATATTAAACAAAACTGACATAATTTCCGTGTACCATTCCGAGTGTTATGCCAGCATTTCGATGATGTGAGTCAATACAATGAAATATCGTTTTGAATGGTTGCTCGTGAGGTGATGGCGGCTCTCCCTTTGGACGATCAGCTATTTAGCGGTATTAGTATCTGATGTGCGACCAAGCTTATTTCAGTAGAACTGTCGGATAAGAAATTGCACCAGTTACTGGAGTGACTTTGAACCATCAGCTATTAATAGAAGAAAAGTCAACGTAAACAAGCTTGTTCAAGAAAATGCAATTCCAATCAATGTGTACCGCAGGTAAATTCCGGAGAAAATGGGTTCGTTTAAGAGTTATCAACTGATGAAGGAATAACCCTAGTTCAGTAGTATAACACGAGTGTGTTAGTACAGTGTTTTCGTGGGATATTACATTCGTACGTTTAGATATTTCTGGTGATACAATAAATGACAGTTTTTGGGAGCTTTTATGCGCTTCAGTACATCATCCCAAACGTCGTTTATCGCAAGTTTGTGCTGAAAACACGCTCAAAATCACAGAGGATTGCCCAAAGGTAATATTGGATAGTGTTTGTGTACCGAGGACCTCGACCTCTGCATAGCTGAATTACCTTCTTGTCTAAATCAGTTGTTTGCATCTGGTTACTATGGGTAGGGTTCTCTTAATTTCGAATCGATAAGAGCAACAGTATTTCTGGGGCAATACAAGAACTATCGTAGGCTAATCAAATTTATTTTGCTTACTCCCTACGCAAATAAGAGCACAGCGTTTATTCGGAATGTTACCGTGATTTAGCTTAGTGTTCTTGTGAGTCAGTAAACAGTCCCCTTGAACTCGTTGACCACGCACCACAGCTTGCGCAATACCAAAAGCGGTAGGCTTGATACTTTCACTGTGAATCTGCGTTTCCACTTGTGACAATCAACAATCATATGTTCAGGTGAACAGCATAAAAATCGCAACTCACAACAAAGTCAAGCATGCGAGCATCATTCATCGATCGATCGATGCCTTCAGAAGTACCATTTGTTAATGTGACTCCATCAATGGTGCAGATAATCAAAACCAGATGCCTATTGGTGTAAAACTAGCAGTATTTTGATGGATCGAGTGTTCTAATGATTAAATTACGGTATTTGAACGAAACCGTATGTTCGAAACATTCCAATGATTCAACGTATTTTCATGCCGCAATTTGTGATGACTTGTTTCGGTTATTAAATCGACTCAACGCCTCAAAAATCGGTGGAAATTCACGCAGATCCGGTGAAGCTATTAAACCCGACGATATGATGCACCACAGACGTGTAGAAACCTGGATATCGGAAATTATTATAGTATTGGTAAATTGCCAGCCAGCCAATGTCACTCTAGTTCCACCCCCATTGGTTGTATGCGCCCAAACCCGATTGACCTGCTCATATTGTGATTGTATAACCATTCATCATTCTTAGCACCACATTTCACCCACGAAAAACGTTTGGGATGTGGCATGCTGCGATGAGAGTTTCGCAACTAATATTGAGCGGACGTGATGCTGAAAACTGGGACTACTCCTTACGCAAGGTATAATTTTTCAGCGTGAGATAGCGGTATTGAAACCTCTGCTTTCAAAATAGCATTCACACTGCCTAATCCTCTTTTAATTTTTGACATTAATTTGGACCCACGAATACACATTGAGGTGTGCTGACGTTCTTATCTACAGTAAGTTTACAGATGCGCATGTCACTTTCTGTTCCTAACTCCGGGGTAATGGTTACTAATGGTATTCATCCCACAGCTCCACATTTTGATGCTTGCTAGGTCAGAACCGGTTTGCACTCCGGTCGAAACCCGGATTCCCAAAAGATTTATGCGCTCATCTAACGGAGTTCAGTTTGTACAACCGTTAATTATGCACCCTCGTGCGGTGGTTTTGGTTGCTAGTCATTTGGATAAAAGAGTATGAAGATTAAAATATTGAGAGGAGACTGAAAGAGAGAATTCATATAGATTGAGGTTGCAAGGATAACGGGTAGATGCACAACTGCCACTCAGTCTCTAAAAACCGGTTAGCATGATTCTGGGGTACCGTCCAAGGAGCCGAACGCAACCTATATGACCAAGTCCCCTGGTTAGAGTTTCATACCCTCATGACAAGTCTTTATGTCATCCACTACCTGCCTCAACAATCTATTTTGTGACATGCGCAATACAAGCCCCAATCAATGTAGTCAATGGGGATCGATCACTTTCGTTCTGGAGGGGGATTGCGACTGTCTAAAACTCTGTGCCTCACCTCAATATTACTTGATCGACTTACCCAAACTCACGCAATGTGACGTAGAAAGCGGTGCTCCAACACTCTCTGTCTTTATCTTGTTTTCGCAGTGGCCAAATCTGCATCGGCCGAGCTGTTGCGGTATACTTCTACTCTTCACCAACAGTCGGATGTCGTGACGACGCCAAAGATGTCTCAAGTTGGCAAACGCCAATCAGACCCACTGAATGCTAGCCGACACTCTCCGTGATGCGTCCACCATTTGAGACATGACTGCCTCCATAGCAACACTTGCTTACTTCCTAAACCACTTCTCCAGTTAGAATGAATTCGGGAGCTGGACCAAATCGGTCCTGCAGCAACACTATTCACTTCGAAGGTGCGAAACGCGTATCGAACCTGGTTACAATAGAATAAAAATTACCAAACAAAGCCCGGATATTCACTTAGTAGCACAATTTCATCTGCATGCAACAGTCTGGCATCATCTAACAGGGTGATTGAAAGCACTGCCCTTAGGGGATGAGCATAGCTAACCATATACGTTTCTCATAGCTTCAGTCTGGAGGGTTCGTTGAAGTTGACAACCATTCTCCCAGGGTGCAGCAATTAAACCCATGAAAGTGACACGGTAAACTCTGTCTGGCATTTATGAGTGAGATTGGTTTGCATAACATGAGCCCCAGAATCTTTTCACAATGATGCTCATTTTGACGTGCCATCGAGGGACAAGAAGAAGCGACAATCTTCTCGTTGTCATCGTCAAACCGAAAACATGTATTGTCGACATGGCATTGCAATCAGTCAAGCAAGAGAGCAATCACTCTATTACCTGCTTAGCTGTAAATCAATCAATCGATCGATCAGCTGAAATAGCTCGCCCAAAAAGAGTGGATGAACAACAACAGTCGGAGAGAAGATACGGACACCTGGTATCTGCACAACTTGGATGCGAAAAGAAATAACAGCGTAAAAAGCTGAGATCTGGTGTTTTGCGGTGACAGTGGCGGCGGGCAGCTTCACGGGGGCCATAAACACACACAAACACAAGCAGCTCAGATCGTATCCGATTTCCTCATCCATGGGAAATCAATCACAGATGAAAGTACAGGCGCACAAATCAAGACTAATTGGGCTGGAAAGACAAGCACGCAGCGGATCAGGGTGGACGGGTATTGTGCGTGTGTGTGAGAAAGAGAGAGAAAGAGAAAAAAAGGATGGAGAAGCGAGTATGTGTGCAAGATGAACGACGACGAGTAAGAGGGGCGGCAGGAGAGGGGTTCGGAATAATTAGGGCGGGTGGAACGTGACAGCAAGAGCAAGCGGTCAAACTCGTAGCAGAGAATGCAACGAGGAAGAATGAATCGACCGGGCGGGGATGGGAACGGAAACCAAAATGACAAAACACAACAAAAACGATGACATCAAAAAGGAACATGGACAGAAGGGAACCCGAGATTAAAACAATGCGACACGAGCGGAATACAGATGTGGAACGGACGAAACAAGCGTTCGAGCAAGTGACTGAATAGTGTGAACTAGGTCAAAAGAAACAAAAGAGAGTATATTAGTCAGGATTTACGAGCGAAAGTAGGATCGAACAATGCAAGAAAAAATGGANGCGACTGTGCATAGTGCAGCTTTGAGAATCAGAGCATGCACGGAGTACAAGGAGTGGGTCTGACTGAAGCAAATACATTGCGAGAACAAACGAGAGAGGGAACGCATAGAAGACGACAATGGTGACCCTGAACAAATCATGTGAAAGAATAGTCAGCCCCCTTTCGAGTTTCTTCTCGCGCAGAGGGGGGGACGAAGGAATTGCATTGTTTGCGTAAAAGAACGTACATTTCATCGACCTCTGCTGCGTGCTGAATAACGAAGCGAAACAAACACCATTTGCACCTGGTTAAATGGAGCCGATAAGCTAAGCGCCTACGGCGGAACACGACGAAATTCAAAGTTGCAAGGGCATTTTGTAAACTGAGGATAGAGGTAAATCGAAACTGATGTCGAACCAGTACGATCAAAGTGAGATACATACAGAGAGAGAGAACTTACAATTACTATGAAGAAACGAGAGGTGGGGGTGGGACGAGTCGGAAAGACAGGAATTAGAAAGCGTCGACAGAAAGCATGAGGAAAAAGGATTGGGTAAAAACCGGAGAGCAAGAGTTTTAAAGCACAGTATGTCTGTATACGGATAGATGCTCGAGTATGGGCGAGATGGAGCAGTGGCTTGTACAGCATAAAGACTAGAACAGAAGAAGAATCGTTCAAATATATATTTCTGAAACCTGGACAGCTCCCTTCTATCTTTTGGTTAGTACTTAAGAAAAAGGATCATCCGTCATGGGCGATACGGAAGTCTTGGAGCTGTGCCCATTCAAGTGATCCGACGCGAGGACAGGAGAAAGAGAGTTCCCAGTAGTCCCGGTAGTCGCAGATAGACTGGACACAAACGGATTGCCTGGTTTGCGTAAACTTGCTCCGCCAGCCACTGGTGTAGTGTTTGCACCGGGACTGGCAAATGCTGCGGTAGCGCGATCCGCCCAGCCCACATCAAACGGGTCTGCGAAACGGCTCGGTTCCGGTGGCAACAACGAAGCAGTGACCGGAGTGGGCCAGGTCACAGCTGCTGTGGTCGAGACTGACGGTACGAAATTGGACGCGCTCGTAGATGACCAAGTACCTGTTACAAAAGGGATGAGCACAAGAGCTACAGGTAGTAAAAAGCACCGTGATGTACAAAGTGTAATAAGAGACGAAAAAGGGGCATACGAATTAGCAAAAGATTAAGTATTAGTTCAAACAAGTAGAAATTCTGCTGGATGATTTAGATATTAAAGTACATCAGCCTTGGGTTTAGGGGTATGGAATTCTTCCTTGTTTCCCAAGATAAATAGACAGAAGACCGAAACCCGAAAACAGCGCATGAAGCCACATGGTTANTATTTGAACTAAGAAAAATACCGAATAGATTAACGGATAACACGGAAAAATGTGGACAACATAAGGGCCTAGGTTTTAGGGAGTTTTCTTGCAAATCTATCATCGTAACATCGGTTTCTGTTCGTCGTTTGGATGATTCATTTCATCATATTCCGAAAAAGATAATCGTACAGGACCGGAACGACAACAGGAAAAGGGAGGGGGATAATAACAGATCCTTGCAAAAAAGAGCGCATCTATTTCAACGCGATAAGTTCATTTTCCTCTCAAACCGTGAAATGACGTGTGTGAGGTGGGGGAATTCACGGGGAATATCAAACAAATCTCACCCTTGTATACCCATGACGCCAAATAGATGTGATCTACAAAATACTTGCAAGTTGGGCAGTCTTTTTCATCAGTTCAGGCAGTAAAGAGACTAATCTGTAATATTCGGGGACATAAACGACCTGCGTCACGGATGGGAAAATTGGATTACGGTACACTTTCAACTATCACTAGCTTCATTTCCGTCACTGTGCTAAGAAAAGTGACTTAGGTGAACGGAAGTTACATCAAATTCACATGAGAACAAATCTAGCCAGGCCTTCAAACTGAACAGAGTCCTTGTTCATGTTTCATTTTTTATAACGATGTATATATATATATATATATATATATTCGTTAAATATGGGCAAACGCATATGGAGTGTGATTGTGTGACCATCAAACACAAATTTATAGGCCCAAGTACAAGCGTCTCAGTTGTTGATCGACACAAGCTGTGCACTAAGTTGGATGGATAACGGGTACACAGACTGAAAACGGTACAACACAACCGAGTGATGGTATATAACAGAGGCAGGGATAACAACAGAGAGGTCAGAGTCAGGGTTCACCTCGAACCGAATTCCCCGTAACATGCACGCTCGACTTCGTCCGGCTCGCAAATCACACAGGGAGCGTGTACGTGCGTGCGCACACATACACATCGCGAATGATAGATGATCCTCAAGTTCTAGGGTTGTTTCAACTGCGAGTGCAACTTTTTCCCGAAATTTGGTGAGGTACAAGTCAATAGTCGTCTATTCCTGTCACCTCTGGTCTTGTAAGAGAAAGGACACGGCAATGATCGGTTTGAACAGTGTAATTGTCTAAAACGTTTCGTGGTTTAGCTGCATGGCCACATGGGTTACCGATAGAGGGCATTCGTTAAAACATCATGCTGTATACCATCTTAGTAACAACTACTGGCGATTGTCAACCGATGCAGGTCTCCACCACAACAACAACAAAAATAACAGATGGATAGTCCTACCGCGGACTGAGATAAAGGGGATCGAAATCCAAGTCACAGTAAGAGCACAGAGAAACGGGTGTCGGAAAAAACGTTAATCAATATGAGTAACTTCAGCAACCAATAGGACGCTCGTTACCGACGGAACGTGCAAACATAACGTGTAGGCAATGTAATGTAGCTGCGAGTTGCATGACCTCACTTGGATAATTGGGAGATAGATGGACAGACATACACCTGAACGAATAGTACAACCATTGAGTACTGTATGGTGCTTTCCGAACTGTGTGAAATTCACTAGTTAAGAAAGGCGAGGTGCTTTTTATGTGCGGTACGTCGGATTGTTTCCGTCCGATCTTAATTAGCGAAGTACTCGTTTTACCACAGATTTACTACATGTGTCCATGCGCGCGCGCACACACACACACACACACATCCATTGGTCTAAACACCAAAAACGGTCAATATTGCTTAGCAACCGACAACAGTACCAAGTTTGTGTTCGGCTGTTTGCTTACTTCTATGTGTTCGTGTCTCGGACGGTAAAAATGAGCCACAACGAAAAATGACGCAAGACCTACAAGGTTCTACTCACCAATACTACCGCAAATCCTAATTGCAGAACGAGTAACCCGAATTGAAGATAGTGACTTATTGCTATAAAAGTTGTTGTTAGATGAGAATGTATTAGGAGCTAGTGGGGGAAGCGATACGCGCCAGTGTGGTGTATGACAATAACAATTTTCAATCGCACAATAACGCTCCGGATACGGATACGTGCAAACAAACGAGAAACAATGGGATGTATTTCATTGACTCAGCATCGATCCAATGTAAAACTAAAATAGAAAAAGGATAGAAAGGGAATAAAAACACGACGCGATTAATCTTTATCATATATTGTTTACAGTCCACCCGGTTCACCAGATACGATTAGACGAAGGAAAAGAAACGTTGTTGGTTGTTCGATGCCATCAAGAAACTTCAATTTAGCATTTATTTTTTTTTTAATAAGGAGCAAAGTATTAAAATGTGGATTATGAAACTACATGTGAAAAACCTATTCTAGAAGTTGAAGTAAACAAAATGCGATAGAGGCTTACACTGCAAATACTCATGCAATGAGCAATGGACTGAGGAAAACCGCGTTGGAATTGAACTTTAAATATTGAAGAATGAGGCTGCAACCAAGAGGATAGTACGGTTCGCAGTGTATCCGGAAAACACCCGATGAAGCACACAGATGAGGGTGGAGAAATCAGACGTGTGCAAAGAGGGATTCAGGACAGACAGATAGGTCGCTAAAGGTGGATGCCCACTTCTTTGGTTTCAAAATTCATCCTTGTACAGTTATCACGAGAGTCATCAACCCAGCAGCTGATCTGATTTTACTTACTGATTTGTTTCACAACAGCGACAATTGCATTTTCTTGGATTCAATCACTAAGAGACTGTGAGTTCACCGAAAGACCTTATGAGGTTGAAAATTTAGGTATTATTCAGTTCATTTTGTAAGGTATTTCGTGTCATTGGCTATTACGGAAATAGGATACAATAAGAGTGTCGGTGTTCGAACACCACCGTCTACGAACCAATGTACGAGTTTGGTGGGGAAACCGGACAAGCATTGCTGAGGTTAGCCATAGTCTTAGGTAATCGCAGTCGTTCACTGGAGCAAGTGGTCGACCCCCTTAGATTACGCCGATTGGGGTATGTGTTGCGCATGTGACCAAATAGGTTGCCAAGGCGAGCGGATGGAAAAAGTTAAGGGAGGTCAAACAAAGACCTGGCATGAGGATATTCAAATCTTAACCAGGACACTGGGTCATATAGGCATCGTTAGGCCCCTCGGGCGGGAACCCCGAGATCATGATAGCCGGTGGTTAGAGACGCCGAACGTCGCAAGCAATGGCGCTCACGCATCTACTAAATATTCTTGCAACCGCAGTCTATATGAGTTCTTTATCCTCCCCTTGGATTGGCTCTCAATATTTCAGTCTTCATTCTGTTGTCTTATCCAAATGAGCAACCAAAACCGCCGCATGAAAGTGCATGATTAATGGTTGCAAAAACTGAAGTGTCACAGGGACGATTTAATTACTAAATAGCTTCACAGAGTTTAGTAGCACTACAAGAGTTTCACAAAACGGATCTGAAACGTGCCCTGAACAGATTGCGTTAAGATAAACGGTGATTCGTAACACACATGCCATTCCAAGATCCACGCCGAAGGGACGTTGGGTAGATGAATTTATTTCATCAGTGGATCAACCCAAAAGCACCATCTATCGCGGTTCGTTTATGGCTTTGATGATTGATTCGGTAATGTGCATGGGGCGGGGGAGATTGTGAGATTGCTGTTCTCTCAATCGGATGAGGGAAAGCCACCGGAGACAGTTGCTCAGCCGAGAACGAGTAAATAATTTACCCAGTCTAACAGGAAAGGACGTTCCAGACATATTCAATGATCGAACGAAATTGGAGTGTAGCAAACAATCCAGCCTTTCGGTGCTACAGAAGCGTACAACTTTTTGACTATCCGTAGACAAAATGTAACGGCTACCGCAGTCCCTTTGTGGAGAATGTAAATGCTTAAAACGACAGTGATTAATAAAGTGAAATCTTTCTGATTACTAGAAATCTCAGAAAAACGTATAACCGACGGTCAATGTATTGCCCAATCATTAAGTCTGCCACGACATCCACGAACAAACATCCGCAATATCCAGGTTCAAATTATCGTGTTTTGGTTCACAAGTCACATAAACTTTGCGAAAATTTTTGCTCATATCCAGCGATCCTATCACAGAAAGCCCGTTGGTCAAACAAAATTAAAACCGTAAGCATTGTTTACGTTTCGAGGTTGTAGTTTGTATCACGGCCACCAGGTTTCGGAGCATGTGTAAGTCATTTTCGCGCAGTGAACTGTGGTTCCAAACAGATAAAACGGATAGCGTACCGCTCTAAAACTTAAAAAAAAGACTGACTGCAATCAAGAAATGGGGATCTACGTTGATGAATACAGTATGTCTCATACAGTCCTCCAATCACTTCACGAGGCGTTTTGCGCGCTTCTCACATCTAGTAAGCTACAAACAGAAGATCCAATTCCATCTGACAACATCAATAAATAAATACTAATTCAATTCTGCATTATCAGTTGACCAATCCCATGACGATTCGAAGTTCATTCCTGGCGTGGACAAAAGTGGCATGTGAAGCCGGAAGAAACACTTGTTCGTATTATTGAGTTCTCCTCCCATCATAAACGAAGGTACGAGTATGAAAATAAATTTTCTTTTATGGTGCGTCGCTTTCCATGCCCCTGAACATGAGGGAAAGCTTCGCTTAGAAAGCTTGGTGAATAATATGTTCGAAGATCAGTTCGGCACCGGGAAGGTGTAAAATGTCACTGCAACAATCGATTCAGCTGACTACTAACGTGATTTGTTTCACGATAAA